AGCTTGCTGGTGCTAAATTGAGGTAATTTTTTTTTTAATTAAAGTCCAAATATTTATATTCAACCACCTAGATAGATTACATCTGAGGGAAAAAGAAAGGATGTGATGTTCAGAACATGGTAACTACAGTAATTATTAAAGTGGGTAGTGATGCCCTCTGGGGGCATTTGGCCAGGGGTGTTTTTACACAACATAAAAGAGAATAAATAATAAATTGAGAATAAAAAATTATATTTTCCTTATTATATTAATTATTTCCTTATTGGTTATTTTGGGAAAATCACAGGTATTTTGAGCAGTAGGATTATAAAAAAAAAATATGCTAATATAAAATTAAATGATATAAGTAGCCTATATAAAACTGCAAAATAAACATTCATCTATTGGTACTTTTTACTTAAGTACATAAAAAAATCAAGTACTTTTGTACTTTTACTGGAGTAATATTTTATTATACGGATCGGTACTTTTACTCAAGTACTTGATTTGTGTACTTCGTCCACCACTGCCGCTGACTGCCATTAAACAGCTTGAAAGATCAAAGACAATTTTTAATATAACTCCGATTGGATTCATCTGAAAGAAGGAAGTCATATTAGCCTAGTCATATTGCTTGAGGGTGAGTAAATAATGGGCTAATTTCAATTTTTGGGTGAACTATCCCTTTAAGTATCTTTTGGCTACTTTTCTAATATTGAAGATCTTTGATGCTCAAATTACAAAGATATTAGCTACTCTCTACTGGACTATTTTATTTGTACTTTGAGTACATTTGAGTACATTACAAACATACATTTTGCATGGCAACAAACTTTTTCTGCAGCATTTTATTTCTGCTACAAAAGAAGTGATATTGCCATCTACAGGGTATTGAAGGTACTCGATCTTGTGCGCACTCAGAATTGTGAAGAAGGCTAGGGGTGGCTCAATACCACAACCTCAAGTATGCCTCAATTAAGCTGTTAATAACACATTTGTCAGGAGGATGCATTGTGCTTAACTAAGCCATCTAAAAAACACTGCTCAAACGGTGCAACAAATGTTCTACTCTCCTAAAGGAAGAATTTCGCAGCCCACAACATGACGCAGTTGTGAGCTACGCAATATCGCGTTCATTATCAGTGATGTATCACATGCGATAATGAAAGCTGTTTGCGTAGCTTGTCAGTGAACTACGGCTCTGTGTAGTAAATGCTGCTCTATCTGAAAGCACGTGCTGGAGATTTATTACTAATCACAGAACCGGCTTTACTGACGAGATGAGCATGATAAACGTATGCGATTTATCGTGCAGCCCTACTTAAAAGTACTTAAAATTACGAAAAACTCAATTTTACAGTAATTTTAACAAATAAGCACAAGTCAACCTGTCATACCTAACACAGGGAGACGCCAAATGATTGCATATAAACTAATATACTGATCCATTCAGAATTACTAAACATACCAAAATACAAATGAAAAATGAAAACATTCTGAATGTGTGGAGACTCCGCAATCTGAAGGCGGGTCGTTGTCATCAGAACTGTTCCTCTGTTAGAACAAGCGATTTTGGAGCATTTGATGCCCATATACATATAAACACCACTGATCCTCACAAACTTCTCCAAAACATGCTTCTTCGGTGAGCATCCATTGTAAAACACTTGCTGTACTTGCTGAACACTTGCTGCCAAGAGCGCACATACACTGTTTGTTTGTGCATCAATAATAACAGACACACGCATGCCTAATGTATGACTCCCGTATGTCACTATAATCATCATCCATCAAAACTTTACTGGAGTGACACTGGCTTGCTTTATCAGCCGAGAGCTGTACAGTCATGGCCAAACGTTTTGGCAGTGACATAAATTTTGTGTTTTGCAAAGTGTGCTGCTTAAGCTGTTTCAGCCATGCAAAACTATACAAGTGACACTTCTTGGGTATTCTATAGTTTTTGGTAATATACATTGTTATGCACTGAATACTAAAAAAAAGCATGACTTAACCATTCTTCTCCTCCTCATTACACTTTGTCATCCTGTATTATAGACTTGCTGGATGTTGCCTCACTGATCAGCAGTGTGAAACTTTGTCTTCAGTTCTGCGATCATCAAACTCCCATCTGAGGGACCTTGACCTGAGTAACAATGACCTGCAGGATTCAGGAGTAAATTTGCTCTCTGCTGGACTGAAGAGTTCACAGTGCCAACTGAACATACTAAGGTATTTAAAACAACTTACAAAACATATTCCAATAGAAACAGTACCATGAATACAGACTATGCAGTAATCACCAAAAAAGACACTAAATTATGTAGTGAGTTTTGGGTCTCACATCACTTAAGGCCCTGATGTATTCCAGCAAAAGCAAAGAGCATTCAGGTATGACATAATTTCATAATCTAGCCAAATCTAAGGTGTTTTTGAGTTTAACTAGTTAAGAACAGTTCACCAGTAAATAATTTTTAACATTATAATGACTAACAGATTAAACATGTTTAATCACAATGCACTACCGTACTTTAATTTGTTTCAGAGAAAAAGTTTGAAGTGTATATGTATAGAATGCTTTTATTAGTGTCACCACCTCTTCTTGACATCCAATAAAATGACAAAAACATCAATACAATGACCTGCAGGATTCAGGAGTAAATTTGCTCTCTGCTGGACTGAAGAGTTCACAGTGCCAACTGAACATACTAAGGTATTTAAAACAACTTACAAAACATATTCCAATAGAAACAGTACCATGAATACAGACTATGCAGTAATCACCAAAAAAGACACTAAATTATGTAGTGAGTTTTGGGTCTCACATCACTTAAGGCCCTGATGTATTCCAGCAAAAGCAAAGAGCATTCAGGTATGACATAATTTCATAATCTAGCCAAATCTAAGGTGTTTTTGAGTTTAACTAGTTAAGAACAGTTCACCAGTAAATCATTTTTAACATTATAATGACTAACAGATTAAACATGTTTAATCACAATGCACTACCGTACTTTAATTTGTTTCAGAGAAAAAGTTTGAAGTGTATATGTATAGAATGCTTTTAGTAGTGTCACCACCTCTTCTTGACATCCAATAAAATGACAAAAACATCAATCAGTCAGAATGTGTCTAAGGGCCTGTCCACATGAACGCGGTTATTTTTTAAAACCACAGGTTTTTCTACGCGGTTAGGCCGTTCGTCCACACGCAAACGTAGCACCAGTTCACTGAAACCAAACATTTTTTAAAACTCCTGCCAGAGTGAAGATTTTCAAATATTTTGGATTGTGACGTTGGAGCCTGCGCTGTTATCTCCGCCTACTGGAGACTTTTTCAGGCTTCCGATTGGCCAACATGGCTTTACAGTTGAGATTATATCGCCACCTGTTGGTTTGGCATGCTCTTGACAGTGCTTCATAGCATGCGTTTGCGTTTTCATGTGGACGGAGATTTTTTTTAAAACGGAAGAAGGAAAAACTCTGTTTATAAAAGTACATGTGGACATGGCCTAAGTCATTTAATTGGTGTTGTGACAGGAGTTAAATCCTGCTTTACTGCTCTGTTTAGATTTGCCTTATGTAATCTCACTGGTCAGTGCTGTGAAAGTTTGGCTTCAGCTCTACAATCATCAAACTCTCATCTGATGGAGCTGGACCTGAGTAACAATGACCTGCGAGATTCAGGAGTAAAGTTGCTCTCCAATGGACTGAAGAGTTCACACTGCCAACTGAACATACTAAGGTATTTAACACCAAAATTACTCTGAACAAATTAAACATGTCACTTTAGTCCTGCTCTTAACTTTTTTGCAAAAAATGCAACAAAGAATTATACTGCTGTGATTTTAACCCCTAACTCATCACTTTCCCATTCTTTGGAAGTGAAGAATTAGCCTTTGCAATGCAGAAACAGCGTATTCTCGACATGTTGACAAAACAACCAACAAAAGTGTTTGAGGGTGGGTCAAAGTAGACGCTGTTCATGGGCACCCAATGAAAACCACTGGCTGGAATTAATACAGGACAATACAGTGTTAAACAGGAAAATATTGTTGCAATGATGCAAACAAAATTAATTTCTGCAGATCTAAAAAGAGGACAGTAGTAAACAAAAAAGTCAAATTTTAAGCTAAAGTCAGTTAATTGTTGATTCAGTTCAGTTTAATAACTGTGTAAAGTTAATCAATTATGGAACGAGTTCAATTCTTCTATAAAGCAGCTCTGTAGAAAACCGAGTTTGTAGAGTCAACTTCATTCAGAAACCGCAAATAAGACTATTACGTATTACTGATTACTGTCAGTAGTGTTTATGCAGGAATTGTCTGTCCATATGTTAGCAGCTGACTGAAGTCTGTTTAAAGGGATTTAGCTCTGAGGCATACATGTGTGCACAGAGGCATAGAAGAGAGAATGTACAAGATTAGAAGAAGAAAAAAAAACATGCATTTGAGAAAGTTGAGCTCTGTCTACTGTGAACTGCACTGGTCATTGTGTAAAAGTGATGTCTGATTCACAAACTAATGCCATGTGAACTGTTGCTGTTTGTAGATTGTCCGGCTGTATGGTGACAGAGGAAGGCTGTTGTTACCTGTCTTCAGCTCTAAATTCAAACCCCTCACATCTGAGAGAGCTGGATCTGAGCTACAATCATCCAGGAGAATCAGGAGTCAAGCTGCTCTCTGATTTACTGAATCAGCCAAACTGCACACTGGACAAACTCAAGTATGTTGAACATGTTTACAATATTTAAATATGAAGTGCTGTCAAATGATACATTTATTATTTCCCCCTCCGTTTCACGCGTTCACGTGAAGGGGTAGATGTGTCTCAATTCTCTTTTGGTTGGAGGGGTAGGGGAAGGGCCAGACAGCCCTTCAAACGAAGATTTTTCGGGACCACACTTCAAACGAATGGGTATGAATTATCTCAGCGTAAACCGGCTTCAGCAGCAACATGGCTGCCCGAGCGAACAATGCCATTTTTGGCATTAATAAAGATTTTAACAAAAAGTAATCATTTGTTGTATGTTACATTCAATCGTGAGTTCATATTTACGGTCATGTTAAGAAATGTTTGCAAAAAATCGCTAATATTTGCTAACTAACGTCATATCATTATAGACTGCACGATAGTGCCACAACATATTTTCATCTGATAACCACCGTAGACCTTGAAGGGGGCTAGTCCCCCCAATAATTAGAAATCGCTAAACCCTTTTCTCAAATATTACCAATTCGAGAGAGAGAGAGATGAAAGATGCGTGTATGCGCGTCTGTGCGTTTCTCTTTTTAGAGTGAGTTTACTTCAAAAACAGCGATTTTATCCTCTCGTTGCTGGAAAATATAATGTAGCGATTCAGTATTTAAACTGTTATTAACCCTCTAAGCGACAAAGTCGCAAAATTGCGACAAGACGTCATACTTAATCAAATAGAATGTAGTTCCTAATATGGTGTAATATCTCATTTGTATTCCCTACCACTAGATGGCAGACATGTAGTACTTCGATTCTAGACCAAAATTACGTCATGTTCCTATTCAAAGTGTTCGAGGAAATAGCAGAGCAAGTGAGCTTTCGTGTCATTGATGCGGAAGCAGTTCAGTTCATAGCGTGCGGGTAAGTTGTGAGATTTGTGAGAGAAAATAGCCAAATGGCTAATAAAAAGTTGTACCGTGAGGATGTTTTGCAAATGTTATTCGCCGATTCTGACTCTGAAGGGGAATATTTGCCTTTTGGAAATGACGATCGGTCGTCTAATGATCGCGCTTCTCCCGGTACATCTTTGCAGAGCAATGGTGCCGCCGTGCAAGACGAGTGTTCACGAAGAACAAACAAGAGATCATTTCGACCCTTTGCCCAACGGGGATGGGGGTGGCAGGGCAATATCTATTATTTCCTGAATATTACTGATGAACTGATCAAAAAGTAGGCTACTGTTCACATGCGTTTTACTACTATATAGTATAGTAATATTTAGTACTTTCTCCTGTTTTATTGTTGGTTTCCTCTTTTTTTTTGTTGATCATTTGGAATGAGGATAAAAAGACAAAAAAAAATGCAAATAAGTTCAAACAACCATTCAATATCTATTATTTCATGAATATTATGACATTCAAGAGGGCCGCCCCCTGATGACATCATAATATGCAAATTAGATGAGTATATTTACACCCCACAAAAACTTTAGGTCATGCCCAAGATTTTTCTAATTTACAGTAGATCTCTATCTTTTAAGCCCTTTCAAGCCACAAGCTTTTGCAATCTTGATGACGTGTGACGGCATAGTAGTGGTGTCCCAATTCTTAAGGGAATATTTTCACCCCTACACCACCACACTCTGTTTCAAGGGGAAGGGGTATAAAATAGAATTGGGATTGGGCCTAACTCTTTCCCTGCCAAACATGGAATTTTCCGGGTTTCCGTGTTCTCACTGTTATACGCTAGGGGGTGCTATTACGCATCTCCTGAATGAGTCTAGAAAGTGCCGATCAAAAACACAGACCAGGAAGATGCAGAAACGAGTGATCTCATATGTAAGGATATGCATATGAAAAAGAATGCGATCATCAACACTAACCGCATATAAATGAAAACTGCATAATGTTACAGAGGCCTTTACCACTTTCTGAATTTAAATTTCACTGTGCAAGCTTTGGGGGTACTGATGGAAGCAGTCTACGGCATCTTTGCTTTAATAATATTACTGAATATGATCCAGATGTAGTATTTAACAAAAATGCGATTTCCTCAGTTATTTGCTCAAAATGTTGCTTTTTTTATGAAACCTACCTACATTCAAGTGCTGATTAAAAAAAACAAAGCTTGAAGCTAGAATTGTTTGAAAGTGGAGGGTCTGCTCTTTATTTTGATGTATTGCATGTTCAGACATTCATACATATTTTTTCAAAAACGCTGGCGGGGAAAGAGTTAAGATGTGCTTTTATAGTGTTCTTGCGGTTTTTGATGACGCATGAGACAGAGAAGTACAGTTGAGCAGTGTTCCATAATTTTTTGGATTTTATATTAAAAAAGTGGTTCCTACTTAAAATTCTATTAATTAAATAGCAATCAAAAGGACTATAAAAACATGGATGAGTGTGTCGCATCAAACTTGTTGACATCAAAGTACTGCGAGAGCTAGAGAGCAGAGCAGACGGCTCCATGCTTTCGAATTATTCTCGCGGTAAGTGTTAAGCCCTGTTCACACCAAGAACGATAACTATAAAGATAACGATATTAGCATCCACACCAGCGAACGATACCGTCTGTTTATTCTAAGCGCACATGCGCCTGCCGCTTTAAATTCTTGAGCTCGTTACAGAAGGATGGATTCTGATTGGGCGTCAATGTTTTTATTGTTCATCAGCTGGGAAAAAATCGTTTTGAAAGTGATCACAACGATATCGTTCCTCTGTATCGTTATCGTTATAGTTGTGGTGTGAACTGTGCTATTCTTTAAAAATAACGATAAAGATAGAGTTCTAAAAATCGTTCTCAATATTATAGTTATCGTGCTGGGTGTGAACGAGCCTTTAGGCTTTGATGCAGAGTTTGAGCCCCGGTCCTGATGCAAATACTGGGTCTTCTCATACAGTTTATGTAACTCAGTTGAGCTGGTACTTCTGATCTTTGTGTAGAACTCTTGAAGCCTTTATGAATAAAAATAATCTGTGGGGATTATGTTTAGGGTTGGGGGGGGCAGAAAATATATTTAGCTATTTAATGTAGGAAAACCCCACCAAAAAACTGATTACTGATACTGATTGTGTGTTTACTGATTGTATAACATGCAGAATATGACACTGTGTTTGTTTTATAGTGTGGATCATGGAGGAGAGTTCAGGATTACAGCAGGACTACACAAATGTATGTCTACACACACACACACACACCCCTTCAGTGATTGTTGTTGTTATAAATCTGATTATAAATCTTCTTATGCTCAGATTTCTGTGATCTCACAATGGATCCAGACACAGCAAACACTAAGCTCATTCTGTCTGAGGAGAACAGAAAGGTAACATTTGTGGATGAGGATCAGCCGTACCCAGATCATCCAGAAAGATTTAATAAGCGTCCTCATGTCCTGTGTAGGGAGCCTCTGTCTGGACGCTGTTATTGGGAGTCTGAATGGAGTGGACAGGCTGATATATCAGTGACATATAAAGGAATCTGCAGGAAAGGAAAGGGTGCTGAATGTGTGTTTGGATTCAATGATATCTCCTGGTGTCTGATCTGCTCTGATGAGCCATTTGCTCTCTGGTGCGATTATCGTCACATTGACACACGTGTCACTTCAGGCTCCTGTAGGAAAGTCGGTGTGTATGTGGACGTTTCGGCTGGCACTCTGTCCTTCTACAACATCTCTGACACACACACACTAACACACATATACACATTCAACACTACATTCACTGAAACGCTCTATGTGGGATTTGGATTCATGATTCATGATTCGAACTCAACACTGACTCTGTGTCGGAGTGAAAAGCCTGTAAACAATGCCACAGATGTCACAAATGAATGAAACGAATGCTTTCACTTTATATACCTTTAACATATATGCAAATGCACTCATTTAAATGTGTAGGCTCACCTATATTTGCACAAAATCTGATTTATCTTTCAAACAATGTTTCTTTAACATTTGAACAAGGAATTAGTAGGATAGTAAAATGTTTTCTTTTGTATTAATGCTGAATAATGTCCTGCTCCTCGTTGTTTTACATGTGCGTTTGCCTCAAATCTTAAATCTAAAATTGTAGGGTTGGAAATCAACAAAGTAGATTCTTTTTATCTCAACATGATAAACATGAACATTTTTATGTTCTGGAATACTTAATTCTCTGGTTGGTTTTAATTGTTGTAATCACTGTGGTGCATCCAGTTGGAATGCAATAAAGATTTATTCTCCACTTAGGCTGTGTGTGTATGTGGTTCTAAAAAAAACTACAGCATGATTAAATAATTAAGCATGATTAAAATATTAATGTAACATTTAGAACTATATTAAGTAGTTAAATCTACAACTGAAGTCTAGAAATGCATCTAGTATATACTATAACTATATTCAATACAAACAGCCATCATATTAAGAGAAGTCTTGTTTCAAGCATGGTTCAAACCCACTGCCATAGTGCCAGGACGGTATTCCTGAAAGCAGGTTAAAGGGGTCATATGATGCGATTTCAATTTCTCCTTTCTCTTTGGAGTGTTACAAGCTCTTGGTGCATAAAGAAGAACTGTAAAGTTGCAAAGACTAAAGTCTCAAATCCAAAGAGATATTCTTTATAAAAGTTAAGAGTCAATCACGCCTACCTAAAACGGCTCGTTCTAACACGCCCCCACATGTCTACGTCACGATGTGGGACGATTTGCATAACGCTGCCCAAATGTTAACGCAAAGAAAGAAGTAAAATAACTTTTACTCGCTGTAGTATTGTTGTTGCCGTGTGTTTTGTTGTGAAAGCGAAACTTTTTTTTTTTTTAATGGGTTTTTATTGGTTTTGTCTGGTCGTGCCGGGAGACGGCATCACGGTATGGTGAGGGGCGTAACATTTCTGTCACATGCTTGAGGTATTCGGCCAATCATAACGCACTGGATAGCTGGCCAATCAGAGCACACCTCACTTTTTCAGACCGATGAGCTTTGTAAAAATCGACGCGTTTCAGAAAGGCGGGGCATAGAGGAGAAACAATAATGTACAGTTTGTGGAAAATAATGTTTTTTTAACCTTAAACCGCATAAACACATTTCATTACACCAAATACACAAAATAATGTTCTTTTTAGCAGCATCATATGACCCTTTTAAGGGTAAGTTTACTCTGAAAGTTGGTTATCCATTTATTCGGTTTACAAACCTGCTCTGCAGAAAGTTACTGTACTTCAGGTACACGTCTCTTCAGAGGTATTTGGTGCACGCGTGGCCTTCTAATTAGGGCTGAAAGCATTGCTTACACACAATTTCGTATTATAAATGTATAGAATATATTATTAAAATTGTTAATAGATGTTAATATTGTTAATATATTTATTTTATTTTACCTCACAATAACAATAAAACAGTATCTTACTCAATCAGTCAATACTGAGAGGAAAAAGAGGTTTTCTTTTTTAAAAGTATGATAAGAAAAGGTTGACATATAATAAAACATGTATATGCATTACCAAGCAATCACTGAATAAACTGCAACAGTTCATGCATCCAGATCCAGAGTAAGTGGGTGAGTGGCAATGTTCTGTTATGCAGAGGACATGTTGCACACTAAAATTTGTAGACAAGTGTAGTGTGAATCAGACTTGTATTTATTAAAGAACAAAAGAAACAATATTACGGAGCACAAACAAGAAGCATCTCTTACACACTTGAAGACTCAATTCTTTTCTCAGGACCCCAAAACTTTTCCTCTAGTAGGCCAACCTGCACCTCCTATTATGTGTATTCGCAATGGCCTTGATTAAAAATAGGGAAGCACAGATTGACCAAGTTCATTTTACTCCCAGCATTGTTGTGTGCGCTTAGATGTTGAAGCAATGATAGCTCCCTAGATCAATTACCCATCAAAACCTGTTTTATTCTTTCCCAAGGTGTTTTTCTCCATCAGACCAGAGAACAGCACTAAAGTGGAGAAGACAAACACAGCCTGTCCTCAGGTGAACCTGTGATGTCTGAAAATGGACTGAAGTCAATAAGATTTCTGACATGTAATGATGTGCTTTTTTCTTCCACTGTTACTGTTTCGAGTCTCAGGTCCGGCAGGAATTGTAGGTGGGGGGAGTGAATGGCCAGCGCTTTCTTCCAATACCACGACTGAGGTGAGACCCTTGAGCAATGCACCAAATCCCCCAACTGCTCCCCAGGTGCCACAGCAATATGGCTGCCCACTGTGTTCACTACGGTGTGTGCACTTGGATCGGTTCAATGCTGAGCACAAATTCTGAGTATGGGTCACCAATCTTGCCCACGTCACTTCACTTACAGTATTCGAACGGTGTCAAAAATGTAGTAAATTCAAGGGTCTCACATCTGTATGACTTTTCAGGTATATCTGTAAGTGATAATGGCGTGCAATTTTTTTTTATCACACTGATTAAATTGAAATGGTCTTCCTCCAGAGTGCAGGTGATTTCTGAAACGGCTGTATTTTGTAAATCTCTTGCCACACTGATGAACACTACGGTTGCTTTCCAGAATGAGTTTGCAAATGACATTTGAGGTCTCTTAGATATGTGAAACTCTTTTCACACTTTAGACACGTGTAAGGCTTCTCTCCAGTGTGAATTCTCATGTGGATGTTAAGGTTTCCTTTATGTGTGAAACCTTTTCCACACTGTGGACATGTGAAAGGCCTCTCTCCAGTGTGAGTTCTAATGTGAATCTCAAGGATTGATTTGCTTGTGCAAGCCTTTCCACAGTGATGGCACATGAAAGGTGTCTCTCTGATGTGAGTTATTATGTGATTCTTCAGGTCATTCCCATCTGTGAAACTCCTCCTACACTCATGACACATAAAACAGTTCTCTCTTGTGTGAATCCTCATGTGCTGATTAAGGTTTACTTTACATCTGAAACACTTTCCACACTGACCACATACAAATGGCTTCTCTCCAATGTGAATTCGCATGTGAGTCTTAAGACATTCTTTTCGTGAGTAGCTCTTCCCACACAGTGTGCAGGTAAAAGGTTTCTCTCCAGTGTGAATTCTCATGTGGGCATTACAGTTTCCTTTATGTGCAAAACTCTGTCCACAGTGTTGGCATTTGTAAGGCTTCTCTCCAGTGTGAACTCTTATGTGGGAATTAAGGTTTTCTTTATGTGTAAAACTCAGTCCACACTGTTGGCAGGTGAAAGGCTTTTCTCCAGTGTGAATTCTCATGTGGATGGTAAGGCTTTGTTTTTGAGTGAAACTCTTACCACATTGATGGCAAGTAAAATAACTGTTCGACATGGTTTTCTGAGCTCTTTTTTGTGAGGAAGTCTTTTCATTCTGAGTGGATTTCTCTCCAGTCATGAAATCATAGTGTTTCTCATACTGAGCTTTCTCTTCCGTTTCATTCAGTTCTTGACTCTCCACTTTCAGCACCATCTGGTCTAAAGTGAAAAAAAGACGAATACAAGTTAACACAAGTTTAATGGTACTAAGCAACTTACATCAAAACCAACCTGAAAGCATTGAAGGGATAGTTCACCCAAACATTTACTCACCCTCAAGTTGTTCCAAACCTGTCTTATTTCTACTGAACACGAAATAAGATATTTTGAAGAATGCTGGTAACTATTGATGGTAGCTATTGACTTAAGTATTTTGATTTCCATACAGGCTTGGAACAAGTAGAGGGCGAGTAAATGTTCACAGAAATTTCAGTTTTGCGTGAACTATCATTTTAAAGCATCAAAGCCAACATCATGTATGCTAGATCCTATACCCACTAAGCTACTGAAACAGGAGTTACGTATTATCTCAGAATCTCTTTACAATATTCAGTATAAATGTTTGCTTTCTTTAGGACACATCCAAAAAACCTTCAGTCCAACAAAACTGACAGTTATCAAACCCCTTATCACTTTACCAGGATAATTAGTTTATTATAGACCAACCCCAAATGTGCCAATCATGTCTAAAATATTTGAAAAATAGTGCCCTCAACTATGTTCAGTTTTGCTGAGAAATGCTACTTCAGTCAGTAAATCAGCCCTATAATAGCACAGAAACCTTGATTATTACAGTGACATCTATCTTCTAGTGTCATTTGTTCTTTTGATAACATAGACTACAACATTCTCTTGGATAGCTTGTGAATTATGTTGGCATTAATGGACAAGCATTAGCATGGTTTAGGTCTCATCTATCCGACTGCTAACACTTTGTTTGTGTGAATGAGGATGTTTCATCAAACACAAGTATTGTGTGCCACAGGGCTCAGTATTAGGTCCTCTGCTTTTCTCCTTGTATACACTTCCCTTAAGGGACATTTTCATTTGTTTTCACTGTTCTGATAATGATACTTTTACATTTCTACATAGCCTGAAAAAAACTGCCCAACTCTCTACAAGTTGGCAGAGTGAGATATATAACATGGGAGGGCTAGTAATTTTCATCTATTAAATTCTTTCTAAAATGTGAGAGATTCTTTTGAAGGATTATATATTTTTTCCCCAAATGAATACTGTAAAGGTATTGTGAACCTCACTTGAAACTGCTCCGTACCAGGGATGTTCATATTAACCGTTTAACCGTTAACCGAAAGTTAAAAAAAAAAAATTACCGATTAATACTATCAGTTTGAACTAAAAAGGTATTTTTTCCAAGTATTTTCCCCTTAAGTATTTCAAGTAAGTTTGCTGCATGATGAAAGAAAAGTATGCTACGTGGGAGCGGAACACACATGTTCGGCGGTAATGGTCAGAAATTCAGCGGGAGCGGCATTACGAAGGATTTCACGCGCAGAGCTCTACTCCACACTATCCGCACATTAAAAAAATGTTTTTAACTAGACACATTGTGCACTGAGGTAGGCCTGCTATTTATTGTTGTCTGACGAAAAAAAGACTCTGCCGGTTCTTTAAGGTGCATTGAAGGATTCAGTGTGTTTTCATTTTGTCATCTTAATGTTAATTTAATTGAAAAATATTTAGTGTAGGCCTATTTATTTTATTCTTTTTATTTGTTATTTTATTCTGTTTTTCTCTGTTCTCAGAAGCGCTGCAGGTGCGTGATAATTTGACGATGTGTGAATCCAGGTTATGTTGTATTTTTAATGGGTCACAGACACACATCCATTCTATTTTTACTTAATACTAATTTATTATTCTAATCTTATCAGTTAACGGTTAATGTTCGGATAACTATTAACGGTTGTCGGTCGGGAGAATTAACAGAAATGAACATCCCTACTCCGTACAAT